TGCTGTAGCAGCTGCGGTGCCTACGACCGAAGAGGCGCCCCCAATGGACCGATCACAGATGCGCCGAACAGACGTGCCTTTGCCGTCAAACGTCGCGAAGCCACCTCGTCGCCAAACGACGCGTGGGGGAAAGGCTGAAAAGACAGACCCTAATCTCAACCCTGACATCCTCGACGGAGTCACTGCATTACGCGCATCGCCTGACGGACACGAAAGCGCCGCGCATGATGCTGTGCTGGAATCTGCCGTCAGCAACGGTACTGCGAATGAGGCGAATACTGCATCAGGTGCGCCTGCGAAGAAGAAGGCGCCCTCAGCACCTGCCACAAACGGCGATGCGCCGGTAGCGAATGGCGCCGCCCCTGCAGCGAATGCTGCAAAGAACAAGCGAAAGAAGGCCGGCGCCCAGCAAATCAAGGTAGAAGACGAAGACACCAACACAGGTGCCGTGAATGGCGTAGCTGGGAATGTCACTGCACCTGCAGCCAGCACTAGGGTGGCGGCAGATCCCGACGATGTCGATAACCTCGAGGCTGAGGACGAGGACGAGGCAGAGGTCAAGGAAGCCCTGTCGAGACCCCCACCGGTCAACTCTGAATACCTTCCTCTTCCGTGGAAAGGAAGACTTGGCTATGTATGAGTCCTGCAGGTACCTTTTAATCTAAACTAACGAATGTGCATACAGGCCTGTCTCAATACGTACCTCCGTAGTGCTACCCCTCCCGTCTTCAGCTCCAGAACCTGCCGCATCGCGAGCATAATCGAACATCGCCATCCCCTGAAGGACCCCTCCCAGCCCGAACATGCCACTAAGAATCGCCCTGATAAGGAACAACCAGCGGATGTCGCGCGGGGCATGAAATATGTCGAAGAGATTGGCCTCGCTAATGCGCGGGATATCATCAAGATGGTGCGCTGGAACGACAAGTACGGCATCAAGTTCATGCGCTTGAGTAGCGAGATATTTCCGTTTGCAAGCCATGACGAGTATGGCTACAAGCTTGAGCCTTTCGCTGCCGAGACGTTGCGTGAAGCGGGCAAAGTGATCGGTGAGCTGGGTCATCGAGTGACTACTCATCCGGGCCAGTTCACACAATTGGGCTCCCCGCGAAAGCAGGTCATTGACAACGCAATGCGTGATCTGGAGTATCACGCTGAGATGCTTTCTCTTCTGAAGCTTCCAGAGCAGCAAGATCGGGATGCTGTGATGATCCTCCATCTCGGTGGAGCATATGGCGACAAGCCGGCGGCCATTGAGAGGTTCAAGGAGAACTACGCAAGGCTTCCTCAAGGAGTCAAGAACCGTTTGGTGCTTGAGAACGACGACGTTGTATGGAACATGCATGAGTTGTTGCCTCTATGTGAAGAGCTTAACATCCCATTTGTGCTTGACTACCACCATCACAACATCCTCTTCGACGAAACCCAGATTCGTGAAGGTACCAAGGACGTCATGGATTACTATCCACGTATTCTTGCAACATGGGAGAAGAAAGGAATCACGCCTAAGATGCATTACTCTGAGCAAACACCGCCTGCGATTACTCGCACGAAGCGGAGAAAGCATTCACCCCGCGTCATGACATTTCCGCCCTGCCCTGACACTATGGACTTGATGATTGAAGCAAAGGACAAGGAACAGGCTGTATTCGAGCTTATGCGAACTTTCAAGCTCCCAGGCTTCGAAACTTTCAACGACATTCTGCCACATACACGTCAAGATGAGAACAAGCCCTGGAAGCCCAAATCCAAGAAAGCGGTAAAGAAGAGCAAAAAGAAGAAGACCGACGAGCTTGACGAGCTGGATGCAAAGATTGAGGAAGAAGAAGAGTCAGAGGACATACCCCCACCCATTGTACTTGACGAGGAAGTAGGCATGGGAGGACCAGAGGGAAGAGTGTACTGGCCTCCTGGAATGGAGGACTGGCTCAGACCCCCAAAACGGATCGTCAAGAAGAAAGAAGACGGTGCCGCTACGCCAGCGAAGAAGAAGCGCAAGACCGCCGCTGACGCGGCCTCCATAGCAAGTGAAGCCGCTCCACTCGAGGATGTCAAGACGCCCATCAAAACACCAGCCAAGAAGGCGGCACCAGCTAAGCGAGCAGCAGCGAGTTCGACTAAGAAGAAGGCAGCAGCAAAGTCCGTGTCAACACCTTCGGCGTCAGACGAAGAGGATGATCAACTTAGCTCACCCCCGCTTAGCGACGTAGGGACCGAGGACGAGGCTCCTGCTGTGCAGAAGCGAAATGCACGACCTGCCGCAATACGGAAGAAGTCTGGCAGGGCCACGGCACAAGTCAGTTACAAGGAAGAAGCGGACGAAATGAGCATGTAGACGAATGTACCACCAATATCATCGGTAGCCCTAAGGCAGCTAGCAATGTCAATCCAATGTATGAATACGCGAAATTTGGTCCTTCAAACACGAAATAGCGACATCTAAAGCATAATTCGCATCATCTCGGTTGTACGAGGTGTGTCAAGTGTCTTGTGCTAGAGGAAACAAACCTCCGAAGCCTGCTAGATCCTTCCCTTCCCGCTTCAGGCCGTTGTCCCGCCCCCTTCCTTCCCGGCCTTGTCCCCCTCTTTCGCTTCTCCGAAACACATGTCGTTACTCGATTACCTAGGTACTTTTCTCTATTCAGACTTCAATGCACCTCTCCACATTATTGACGTAGTAGCCAATGGAATATGTCGTGTCTCTCGCGCTTACCTATCTATTCACCTTCCCAACCCAGCTGGAGTGGCCGAAAACGAATGTACATACGAACATGCGTTCGTTGGGGGGGAAGACATGAACGCATAAACGTGCACTATGTGGACCTTGACATTCGCTAGAGGGGGCAGAGGGGAAAAAGGAAAGGAAAGGAATTCAGAACGGTGCTCGGTCCAGCCCAGCCAGCCACCTCCACGTCGTGATACCATTTCACCACAAGACACATAGCCCAATCCAATGGCGTAGATAGAGACGTTTGGTGTAGCAGCGGCCCAGAAGTTCTCGAAGCGGTTATCGAAGCACGGCCCGTTGCTGTGCCGCACTAACCGACGGTTGCCGAGGCATTCCGCATATCTTCTTAGCACCTTCCATTGCATATCCCACGGCCGGATGTGGGATAAAGGTCTGATCCGAGGCAAGCAACAATGTCAGACTGAGGTGGTTGTTGCGGGAGAGAGACGGAGAGGGTGTGGTAGGGGAAGCAGGCACAATCACAGCACAGTGCATGAGATGCGTCGATAGCTTAATCGATAGCTTCACATGCATGGTGTCATGCATGGATGTGTTGTGAAATAGGTGATCAACTGGTTCTAGGCTAGCTGGTGCTGCTGGCGTGTAGAGGGGAGCTGCAGATAGATGCAGGACCACGTCGGAGGACATGGGCTGGAAGAGGGTAGGAGTGAAGTTCGTTAGTGCGAACTCTAGAGGATAGTCTGGATAGTTACTTTGAGGGGTATGGTGGTGGGGGGTTGATCGTGGTGTGCCTTGGTTTCAGGTACGAGTCGCGTATTGGAAACCTTGGAAGTGTGGGCTGAAGCATTCATGCGCTGTAGGTGAAGAAAAGGGTCTACCAAGACCGTTATCTGTGGATATTTTGAGAAGCCGTTGAGATGTATGGGTTCTTTGATCCGACGTGTATCCATTCCCTCTTCGCTCCACTGCGATAAAGTACAACGTACGATCTCTGGTCTATTGAATTCCCACCAATGGTGCCTCGTCCCTGTCGGTCGATTTACAAACTGATTTCCTCTAGAGCGTCGCTTGGTTTGTCAACACCAATGTGCTGGGATCTAGAAGACCCCCCTCTAGTGTCCGTCGATCAACGATGAACAGCCATGACTCGAATCTAGGCCGTGTCTATTGTCTTTCTCTTGCCTGCTGCCAATCAACCCCCAGTCAGCTGGTTGCTATCCGCAATCGGTTAACTTCCCGCGGCTACATATCTGCAGGTCTATCTGCACAGCCTTGCACAGATTGAGGTCCATGTCCGTACCATGTCCGTGGACTCTTGAATCGAACATTCGGTGCGCTAGTGGATTTATTTTTGCATTGACGATGTGATATATCATGGGTCGAGTGATAGTTACGAGGGGCTGGTAGCCTATCCCAAGTCGTGGCTGAGCGTGGGCAGGGGAGTTGGATGTTTTGCTCGGCTGCTGTGCGGAATAGCATTGCGCCGGTGGCCCGTCTTGAGGCCGTACCGCCGTGGCTGGAATTGAGGACCATGCGGAGAATCTGCTTCTGGATGTTTGGTCAGCAGTAGGCGGTGTGGCGTGCTTGTTTGTTGAATTGCAGTGAGCGAATGATGTTTTTGGCGGTTAAGGCGCCGCAAGGAAAGACGATTGTTTCCCGAGGAAGAACGTCTGAACGGTTCATGTCAGTAGATCATAGCCGTTGTAGAATAACCGAGCCGTCTGAGCAAACTCGCGTCGAGACATGATCTTCGGCACTACACACTGTGTATCCGCGGCTTCCAAATTCGTATTGCCATCTTCAACTTCTTGCCTTATCACCAACGAACTTGTAAAAATCTCGTATATGACGCGATGTCCTTGCGCTCAGACCTACAGGATCCACATGCGATAAGAACACGAAGACTGTGCTGGGCATGGAGAGAATGGAGAAAGGCCGAGCTTGTGAATGTCTACGCGAGAGGCCTGAGCTCAGAGGTAAAAAAAATCATCAAGCGCCTCGGTGTCCGTGCAAGATGCGCACAGAGGAGTTTGGAGGATTCTTTCGGCATCCTGATGCACGGTTGCAGTCGAGAGTGCATAGGCTATGCGGTCCGGCAGTCTTGAATCTCGATGACAGGTGCTATGATGTAGGAGGCTGAAAGAATGTGGTTGTACAGGACGATGATGAAGCATACCAAGACGATCATCATCAGAAATTGAAGACATTCAAGAGCAGGAATCGTTGCGATGTACTGATAATCGAGGTTTTCGCGCTCTGACAAGAGGGCATTACACCTGGACGCAGGTCTGTGCTCGATAGCGGATCTACCATGACGTTATGGCCGTTGAACGACGGTAGAGGTTCACGATGGTCATTTTGCCCAGGAGCCAGTACGCAGCTATCGGAATTAGGGTCTGTGAGGCTTCATTCTTCGAGTGCCGCGCGTTTCCGTGTGGTTGAGAGGATGTCAGACTCGATGGACAATGATTGTGGGAGGCGAGAGGTGGGCGTAACAGTCGGAAGCTCCGGCTTTCACGACGCGCAACAGCATATATTTGTTCTTCAGCTTTTGCGACTCTTCTTTACAGATATGTTTCAAGATGAATATGACTACCAAGAAACTACTGCAACACCGATGTAACCAGATTACAGAAGGCGTACGTGTTACTCAAGTCGACAGCGAAACGGAAGTCCCGGCATAGGAACCACGTCAAGAGCCTCTATCGCGCCTTCACGATATCTGCTTTTTCCCTCAGCCACAACGTCACCATTCCAAACCCTTTCACCCAATCACTCTCGTCCGGCTCGCCATGGCTAACTCAGCAATCGCACCCGACACACACACATCCACTACACATCTCACCAGCCGTTTCGGCCCTTTGGTGATCGAGTGCAGTGGCCCGCCCCGCGATCACCACCATCCTGCGCCTCACACCCGCTACCCTTCGCACACAGCCCAACCCAACGCCATCCGCACCCCATCACGGAGACACCAGCACCGTATCCAGTGGAGACAAGCAGCAGTTGAAGCGCTTCTCTCCACAAACTACCGGCTATGCTACTCCGCAAAACTAGTTCTAATCGTTACGTACAAAAATTGTTTCCCCAGATTATCACATGCAAGACATATCCGTCCAGCGTCTGTCAGACAAACTCAAGCTCTAAACCGCGCGCCCAGCGCAACCGTCTTTGTAGATAATAGCCGATGGCCGCATTAGGCATTACGCCCGGCTTGAGTAAGGGGGGACTTGGACTGGTAGTGCAAGTAAGCGCCCGAGAGGCGTTCTTTTCGTGGAGGTGTGACGAGACGAGCGGTTCCTGCGTATACGGGATGGTAACCACACCACACCAAACCAACGCAACGCGTCTGGCGTGCTTGTGCGTCATCTTGTCTTGGTACTTTCTTAAACCCGTGCGTTGGTTGACGCGATACAGAGGTACTAACAATAGTCATGGCCATTGCGACAATAGCGACAGGCTGTCGGTAATTCCGAACAAGATTGTTAAGGTTACCTATATCCCAGGGAAGGGAACTGATAAACCACGTTAATACTGGCTAACTATCCCCGAAATGCGACGTTAGAGTGAAGATCTCGAGTCACGTTCTGCTGCGCAATTGGATCCCATAGCGCCGGGAAACTTGTTACTTCAAAATCCGCGAGTAGTTCCTAGCGCTGATGATGATGGGGCCGGCGTTCATGCTACAGCACCCTTTTCTTCGTCTTGGCTTGTTCGGCTGAGCTTACTTGCTGACTTCTTACCATCGTACTATAATAGTCGAATTCCTGTCCGAGGAGCGAAAGATGGAGATGCACGCACGGAGATTTGAAGGGGTAGCGCAGGTAATGCGACACGACACGATGGAGAGATGTAGAGGGGTAACGTGAGTATGGGGAGGGGTAGTAGTGAGAAGCGTGGGGTAATGGGAAACGGTTGAATTCGTATTATCGAAATACCCCGTTCCGGGCTGCGCATGAATTACATGTCCGAAAGTATACAGCTTCGAGGCGTCCAACAACGGGCTTCTCTCCGCTTCGTGTCGTTGTACTTCCCCCTCTCGGATAGCAACTGCGGCCTTCTGAAATTGGACTATCTGTTTGTCCCCGCAATGAGAGAAGCAATGCGCCGGCGTCGTTTCTGTGTTGCGATGCACCAAGATGACGTGTGTGACTTGAATATGCAAGGATAGACTTGCTTACTGGAATGATGTGGTTTGAACAAAGAAAAGAATAATGGTGTATGTAGGTGTGAGGTAGGTACATGAGCTGAGCTATAATCCCGCCTTGTACCTGGCAGAAAGTCACTGCAGATCGCCGTTCGGATGTCCATCGCAGGAGACAGGGCAAGCTGAGCCGGAACGAGCGAGCCTACCCCATCCACACGCGGGTACGTACCATCACCAAGAGCGCATCGGAATCACCATACTACATGTCGTTCCGCCTCTAAAAGCCATCATTGTTTATTCTCCATCCAAGAACCAGTCGTACCTCATTGCCGTCGACACCCGGCATCTCCGAGACCTCATTCCTTTTGCCCCGCGCCGCACTGCCACTGCCTACCTAACGCTGTCTGCCGTCCGGTTCGTCAGCACTCTAATCCGCCATAACCGCCTCTTGCGCGCCACGGCCGTTCGCCATCGCCGTGAAACCTTGAACCCTCCTGTGAACCCTGACCTGGTAGATGTCCTGTTGCGCAAGGTAGCGCTGTCTTGTAATTATGGTGTCAGTTGTAGCTCGTGAGTTACCATGTTGCAGCTTGCAGGTCAAGGCATCAGCTGGTGCAGGCATGTGAGATGCGCATATCTTTTCGAGCAATCATGTTGTCGTTGTTTAATTGGTGGGTGTAGTACACCCTACCAAACTTTGTGCAATGACGATGTTGATCGTTTTTTGGGACATGTGGTTTGATTTTGCTATCCGACGCCCGTCTCATGTCAGATGCTTGTTGTGCATGTGGACGGCGCCCGGCAATCTACGCAGGGTAGAAAGGACCGACATATCCAAAGTTAGCAAGTTGTACGATTTGCTGACCGGCGCCGAACCGGTGAGCCTCGTCTGAATGATGGCCTGAGGACATCATTTTTTCTTCACTTCATTTTTTCGTGTGACCACATTTGTGATCCGTTTGTATTGGTAGAGGTCCAGCTCATGCAGCCTTGCATGGGATAAGCGTTGGGATGCATGTCCGAGACCAAGAGTACGATGTCTGTGCAGAGTGCCCGATCTAGTCGAGCTTGCGCAATCGTGTAAAGATAGGAAAATCGGGTGAAGGCCATGGATGGAAGGATCACGTGTCGATTAGGAAGGAGCAAGCGTGGGGTGAATGCAAGTGAGCAGAGAAAACGCTTTTCATTTCATTTACTGCGTGCTGTTGTTCACAAAACTTCATATCGTTGCAGGGTATGCCGCATAAACGTCGCTACAAAAATACATAAAGATGATGCCGCGACCGAAACCTTGTTTACCAGGGTCGCTTTTCCCAACCGACCCAATTATGCCAGAATCCCATGAATGTCGTAAAACCTGTTCATGCACGTTTTTCCTCGTTGGTATGAGCTCCGTATGTGTGTATGTGCTCAACCTCGTATGTATGTGTGTGTGTGTGTGTGTGTAGCTTGTGTCCAGCAAAAGCGTCCTCATCAAAGCACAATGTACTCCCCGTCCACGCGATCCATGGCTCTCCTCCATCGGAAAGGATGCTGCATGTTACTGAAAGGTCCGTTCTGCCTCGGTACATGCAAATCGCCGTCTGACCATTCGTCATCTTCGCGCCATACGCGTTCGAGCACTTCCAGACCGCTCAGGTTGTTGAAGAAACCGCTCTCGCGTTGGATCTCTACACACCGTTGTCGTACCACAGCGCGGTGTTCCGGGTCAACGCACTCCGTGCCGATAATGAACAATGGCCAAAGTAGGAATTTGTTGACACAGCTCGTGATACCGATCTGGGATATGTGGTACAGACCTTGTGATACCAGATTCTGGAAGTTCAGGGTTGAGGCGGGGAGAGTCGGTTGTGCTAGGCGCTCGGTGTAGAGAAGCGCCGCATAGCGGAAACTCTCGCTGATGTGGAGAAGCGCAGCTTGTTCTGGCGACATGGCAAGCATTGAAGATGTTGCTTCGCAAGACGTGGAGTGCATGTCGCCAGGTGACGGGAACTCCCACTCTTGGAGCCGAATGCGCAGATCGTTCCACTCGCTCCAGAACTCAGAGCGGGGATCATCGCGTGCAGACGTGAAGGGGTCGACGTGCTCGGCAATTGGCGTTCCCCAGCCGTTGCCATCCATATTATCGAAGCTGAAAGAGTAAAAGTCTTTGACTTTCCTGGGTCGGGGAGATGATGTAGGCGTGTCGTCGTTATCGCGTACCGGTCGGTTCTGACTCAGCAGATTCAGTCGCCCGAGTCTTGCAATGAGTTTGAACAAACGGCCTTCGCAGCCAGAATGGTGTTCCATTGCACCTAAATTGGCGCTCAGGTTCATCATGTCGAGCGAATCGCCGCGCACTTCGATTTCTCTGTCATTGACTGCAGCAGTCATAACGTCGAACCAAGTGAAGAAAGTCTCGATCCACCCAACAAACTCGGACCGAGTTGTCCTGTCGCGGAGACTGAGCAGTTTCTGCACGCCAGCGAGCTGGGTCTTAAACTTCGTAAAGCCGGAATCGCAGACATGGAAGAGACAAAGAATGAGAAGCGTAGCGAGCACGGAGTCGTCCTGCGAACCATCGTAGTCGACAAGCTTCTTGTTAAGGAGGGCAATAGAGTTGGCTTTGTAATGCTTCTCTTCGTCGGTTGCCTCGCCATGCATCTCGCGCAGCTCTCGTGTCGTCATCTGCGAATAGGCATGGTCTGGTATGAGGCGTGTGTCATGCAGTACACTCAGCCGCCGTCCCTCAATACCTCCGCGCATGCGCATGTTGTTGGTAGCGAGAGCACCGATGGCGTTCTGGAGCTCCTCATTGCGCATGGCCAGATGTATGATGTGCATCCGGTAAGGGTTTGTATGGCTATCAAAAGCCACCAGCACCGGGCATATAAATTTGTCGTAGTAGTCCAGAAGGGATAGCATCCGCGGGGAAAGGGGCGAAGCGATGGTAAGGCTCTGAGGAATAGAAGTGGTGAGCGACAGTACGTCTTGAGACAGGGGGCCAGAGCCATAGGAAGACATACCCTCCGACGGGAGAAAGGAGAAACCGGGCTGGAATCCGTTGAAACTCGAGCTCATTTCCCCCTCAATAAAAACATCCTGAAACACAACAGGGCCCATAGGCTGCGAAGCTGCGCTTACTTCGGGATAGTCGTGTATACTCTGATCTGAGCTGACGCTGGAGCTCATATCGTCGCCAGTGGGTAATGAGCGAGGCGCCTCATGAATGAAGTAGTGGTCCAGAGAGCCCATCGGTGCCTGGTCGAACGGCTGGTAACGTGGTATTGAGGGATCTGCAAACGGGAACTCGTCGACGGGTGTGTTTGGGAACTCGCTCGGTGAAGGGAAGTCGCTATCGCTGTAGGTGCCAAGAGATGCCGAAGATGCCGACATGCCGTTATCCTCGAAAGGCACATGGAGAGTAGTTTGCAGTCTTTGGAGAGGACCCCTGTGAGGCTGGTGATGTCTGAACTTGGTGGCTTGGGGATGTAGGAATTCGAAGTGTTCTCCATGATGTTGCATGGGATAGCCCATGGGGGTAGATGGAGTGGGTATGGGTATTGGGCTGGTCGGACTGAAGTACTGGTATTCCTGCTGTGCAGAGAACATGGGGCTCGTAGGACTCCTGGGTGAGTGTGCGCCAAAGTCGATGCTCGCACGGCTGTTGAAGTTGTGCTGATGTTGGTGGTCACTGGTGGTTGATGTAGTGCTGGTGGAAGCTATCGAGTTCATGCGTTGGGCTTTTGGCTCCTGTGTTGCAGTTGAAGGAGGCGACTTTGCAATAGGCAAAGACATGCCTCGAAGCTTTCCACGGCTGGCTACTCCCACACCCCAGGTTAGAGTGGTACGGTATCCTGAGCACTCTTTTCCAATGTCAACGCACGGCCCACAGTATGGGCGGCGTCGATCACACTTGACTTGACGTTTCTTGCAAGCAAAGCAGTCGTCGGTGGCTCCAGTGGCGGGAGCTCTTCTTCTTCGTTTCCTAGGGGCGGCAGCGGCATTGTTGTTGTTGTTGTTGGTGGTGGCGGTGTTGTCGACTTTCTGGACCTCAGCAGGCTGAGCAGTGTTGGGAGAGACGGCCATGGTGGGAGTAATAAAAGAGGAAGTGCTATTACAGTACTCTACAACGTTGCATCTGCAGGACGTGGATCGTGTATAGTAGGTGTAGGAACAGAATAGACAAGAAGACGAGGGGTAATACTCAATGGAGCATAGAAGAAGCGCGTCACGGTGGGTAAGTATTATTTTGGCTCGACGGGTCTGGGTAAAGGAAGCTTGGTCCCCGTCAGATAAGGTCAGGGCCCTAGCTTGCAGGGCTCTGGTTCTGCCAAGATGAAGGATGCAAAATGCCGCGGCATACTCGACGCTAGGATATTAAGAGAAGAGGTGGTCATCTTGAGAGATGTGCATGAAGGATGTGGCCCGCAGCGAGTAGGCCAGGTGCCCGCATGTTCTCGCAGCGGCAGCGAGGCTTTGGCTGTGGCAACCCCTACAACACCCCACACGGTGACGGCGAATTGCAGGGCAGGGCGAGGTAGCGTCGGGTTACATCGTGGAAAAATGGTGGCACCCCCGGCAGCAGAGCAGGGTGGATGGCGACAGAGGCCTGCTGCAGGACGGAGAGGGCTGGACGCCACCAAGACTCCACGAATGAGAGGCTGCAGCGCACACGATCTGCTACCGGCCGCTAAGTTCGGAGCAGCTACGAGGCCACAGCCACTGAGAGAGCTTGTGTCGAGGGCTCCGGGGTGAAGGCGTCCAGGGCGTCTTCGGCTCGCGAGGTGCTGCACAGCTGCAGGCCGCCAGCGCTGGCTGCAGCTGATAGCGTCAGGGCCAGCATGGGCAACGTGAGCACCCGGGCGAATGACCGCGCGCGAATGGTCACGGAGCCGACCGAGACGATCAAGGTGCCGTCGCGAAGACGCATCGAAGCTGTGTAGAAGGGCGCCAGGTCTGCCTGGCATGGCAGCGCTGAGGTTTGCCAGTGGGAGGAGGCAGCGACAAGCCGCCCGCTGTGAAGCCTCTGCCAAGGCCAGCGCTGGACGAGTACGTAAGGTTGGACAAACGGCCTCCCATTAGACAGCAGACGATACGCCAACCCCGCAGCCGACTCTGATCTGCCGCAAGGCATGAGATGCAGCGGATTGGGATGCGCGGACGCTGCGCGAAGGGCTGCGTGATGCAATTTGCGCACCTCTGCACGCGAAGGGCACGTCTGACGGCGCGGATATTGCGATGACATCGAGGACTCAGGACACGGCGGGCCCAGGCGTGAATGATGCAAAGCTGCACGCAATGGCCGGGGTGCCTGGCAGTACCGGACGACTGCCAGCACTGCGCAGCTGTCGTTGCTGCTGTCGCCTGCTCCGCATGTCTCTTGGCAGAACCGTTCTTGTGGGACCCGCTGTGATAACAGCCATGCGGGCCTGATGAGCGAGCGATATGACCATAGCCATCCGACTGGCACCCCCACGGCTCTCCTGCAACCAGTCCGTCGCACTCCCCAAACACCTCATGAGCTCATGAGGTCTCCCTCCGCCCTCTCCCATCGCTTCCTGTCTCCCAACAGCCTCAACCGTCCGGACTAGGCAGTCCATGATGCCGTGGCTGCGGCCGCCGCACAGGTGCCGAACTCCAGCTGCTAACCCAGGGCGCCTAGTCCTCCAGCCGTCCACCACCCCATTCGTGTGCGTGCAATCCGTCGTCGAATGGCGTCTTCACCGATTCACAAACGCTAGCCTCATCATACCATTGTGCACGTGAGCGCCAAGTCAGACATGCATCGGAGACATGCGCTACTTTGGTATGCTGGCTGCGCTCCACCACTCAACGATTTGTCTCAGGTAACAAGCAGCTTCAACCTCCCGTCAGCAGATGGCTTTTGGGTTGCTAGACAAGGTTTCGTTCTCAGACAGGTCACTAGCCGTCCGTACCTGGGGAAGCAGTTCACCGTCAATGCGTCTGAGCAAATGTGCACACGCGGGGTAGTATGGGGATACGAGCCAGACCTCGTTTGCCCACTTGGTACGTCTCTCACGGATTCGTCGTGTCAGTAGTGTTGCCAGTCTGCCCTCCTTTGTCCGCAGAAGACCCGCGTATGGTCTCCTGATTCCGGCCCTTGCTATCGCACCGAACAGAACGGAGAGCCTCACGGATGCCGGCAGAAGGCCTAGTTTCTGCCAGGCTAGACAAGATGATAGGACAGTTGCGGCTTCTCACATTCATTGTCAAGCTCCGGGCAATATCCGACAATCATCCCATTATGATGCATCAAACGTTCAATGCCTGAGGGTCGGAGTTTGTCCGACACGTACGAGTAGAGCGACTACGCCATGCTGTGGGACATGTCTCGAAGCGAGCGGGCCATGGCTACTCTTTAAAATCCTCATCTCCGCCCTAGCAATTCTTCCGGCGCCAGGTAGAGTTGCACGAGATCTCCATGGCTCGCTTCCGAGACCCTCAAATCTACGATGCCCGGCCCGACAGCAGACGTTTCAAAGACTCTGGCCAGGCCGAGGCAGTCTGTATGGAGAAATGCTTCCGTGTTTACACCTTGAAGATCGTCATTTCGCCGGCACTTGGTAGGGAACGACAGAAACGAAGGCGCCCGCAAGCGCTGGATCTTGAACAACCGGCGGCTGCGGTTGGAACAGCGACTAGGGCTCCTCGGACCTCTATTTATGGTCTCCACTTGAACCCTGCGCTAGCAAGCAGCACCGTCGATAGGACCCGCTGGGTCTTGGGTATTAGTGTCGATATCGTCTGAACGCATCCGGCTCTTGCACACGCGGACACTGCGCTCTCAAGCGACGCAGAAGAGCGGTCTGATGGTTGCGGTTCGACACAATACTACGTGCAGATCCGCTAGAGACATGTCTAGCACGTGAATTAACTATTGGCTGTGGCCGAGAGCGCTTGACAAAGTTTCGGCTCACTAGCTGGAAGCGCTTTAGCTTGCACAGGTAATTTCGACTTCCCACGACGCCATGTAGCTCTCTCATGGAGACGAACCTGTGGCCATCGATGGCGCAATTGAAGTGCACAATCGGAAGTGGAGAGCGAAGGGACAACTTCCCGAGTATCCCGCCTGCTTGAGGGTCGCGGTCTTTGACAGATGCTGATGTCAAAGATCGATGTCTGGAAGCTTCGTGATGCGTCAGATACAGCTAGAGCGTGCCAAGATTTCAGTGAAGGCAGATGTCGCACAGTAACTCCATGTTGCTAGGAGTTGAATGCAGTCTGAGATGCCAAGTACTGCAACTCGCTTCACGATGCATGAGGTGCAATGCTCCACGTTCACGATGCTCGCGTGGTGAAATGTCGAAGCTTCCACCTGGGCAAGGCTGGAGCTCCAAGCTCGGCTCAGTGGTCCATGCATAACCTGATCCCCGCAAACATCAACCCCACAAACAGTCTGACAGCTATGCACGTCATGTCCTACCTCTGAATGCAACCCTGAGTCGCCTACTACACACAAGCAGACTATCGCCATGGCCTCCAAGTTCTTCTGCCTCCGTTCTGCGCGTCTCGCTGCGCGTTACCCGTGCCCGCGACGGACATTTGCTTCAGCCGCCTCTAGCCGCGCAGACCACGTTCGCATTGTGGAAGTTGGACCACGCGATGGGCTGCAGAATGAGAAGCAGACGATACCGCTGGCGACCAAGATAGAGCTCGTCGAGAGACTCGCAAAGACTGGTCTGACTACCATTGAGGCAGGCTCCTTTGTTTCCCCCAAATGGGTACCACAGGTGAGCCACGGTTGTTGAAGCTGAAGATATCCACTGACCACCAAGACAGATGGCCAATTCGGCTGAGATCCTCGAACACGTTCTCTCTCAAACACCCCAATCGCAGCATCCGATCACGTACCAATGGCTCCTCCCCAACGTCAAGGGCTTCGACAACTTCCTCTCCATGTGGCAGTCCAAGTCGCAGCCAGACCAAGACGCATACCCAACACCCCCATCGTCCCCCGGCACCGACAACGGACCAGCCCTGAACACATCCTCCTCAGACCCCAACACCATGCCCTCCGCCTCCTCCGGCGCTGAAGCCATGAACGCGAGCCGCGACGCCCAAGCCCCCATCCACGAACTCTCCATCTTCACCGCCGCAACCGAGTCCTTTACACAAAAGAACACAAACTGCTCCATCGCCGAGTCGCTACAGCGCTTCGAGCCCATCATGTCAAAGGCAAAGGAAATGGACCTCAAAGTGCGCGCTTACATTTCCGTCGCCCTCGGCTGTCCCTACGAAGGCCCAGATGTAGATCCACACAAGGTGGCAGAGTTAGCAGTCAGCTTACTGGAGATGGGCGCGGACGAGATATCAGTCGCAGACACCACAGGCATGGGCACCGCACCGAAAACCCTCGAGCTGCTCAAGACGTTGAATGCCGCTGGTGTGAACAAGGATGACCTAGCCCTCCACTTCCACGACACATATGGTCAGGCACTCGTCAACTCTGTTGTTGCTCTCGAGCATGGTATTCGTACTTTTGACGCGGCGGTTGGTGGGCTGGGTGGTTGTCCGTTTAGTCCCGGTGCGACGGGGAATGTGGCGACGGAGGATCTGGTTCATTGCTTCCATAGTTTGGGTGCGAAGACGGGGGTTGATCTTGAGGCGTTGGCGGAGGTGGGTCATTGGATCTCGAAGGAGTTGGGGAGGGGGAATGACAGTAGGGCGGGTAAGGCGACGTTGTCGAGGTTGAGGAAGGCGAGGGGTTGATGTGGTAGGGTGGAATGAGAGTTTCGTGTCAAGCTGAACTTTTGATTGAGTATGCTCGTTCATCTTGATGTATATTCATTCATGAAAGTGGTGGGGCTAAACAGTCATCGCGGGAAAGAAACTTGGTGAAGGGCCAGTGTTGACAGACACATCACTGGCGCTTCCCCAAGTTTCCTGCACGGATTGACTTTGCAAGCTCACTATCGTGAACATTGTCTGCATCTGCATTTTCTGTTATCTACTCCAGCGGAAAATACTCTCAAAGTATCACAAACAAGTGAGTGAATCAAAGTTTTACGTTGATAGCCTGCGTATTCCGACATGATCACATTGGGCTGGAGCAGATACAGTAGTTGTTGTTGTCTAGCTTTCTCTGCAATAGCGAAATTGTTGAAAGGTAGTTACCTAGGCTTTGATACTGGTGTTAGGATGTCTGGTATGCTTCTCAGCCACTCTCCGCCCATATTCACACCTCTATTGCAACGATGATAAGTACTTGCTTAATAGACTAAACCTGCCCTATAACTACTATACATAGCAAACTAAAACACTACATACAAAAGAAATGTTAGAGTATCCTTCGTGTCAACATGCCCATCACCCCCCCTCTCCATCCTCGTCGCCACGGCCTCTAAAACAGTCCCAGTACCAATACAACTCTCTTCACTGCAGCAACTTCATCACCATCTTCATTCTATCTCCATCTCCTCCCCTTCCTCTCCACTTCAATAACCCTCACCACCCCCTCATCCATCTAGGCATTCCGTGTTCAGCCATCCACATCATCAACACAATCTGCAACAACAGCAGAACGCATACTGCTATCAGCAGCCATCCCACCCCTTCGATAACCGCCAACGGTATCGTCATCGGAAGCTTTCCACTGGAAAAGCTATGTATACGGCGCTGTGTTCTCATGAGTTGTCGATGTGGTTTGCGATGTCTAGTCTGATCTGAGGAGAGAATGACAGCGTTCGAGTTTGAAGCTGATGGCGTGGTGTTGGCGGGGTTGATAGTGTGTGGTTTGGAGATGTATGCGTTGTGGCTTTTAATTCTCTTTTCGGTTGTTTTTTAGAGGGAGATGGGTTGGTAGAGATGGGTGTGGTATACTTTCTTGGAAACAAACTATATCCGCAGAGCAATAGTAGCACATAGTTGGGATGTAGTTTGCTTCCGAGATCTGAGTTTTACGGAGGTTCCATGGTCGAGAAATAGTGAAGATAAAGCGCACAATTGATACGTGAAACGCAAGGTACGGAGAAGCATCTATCGCGTGAGTGTGACAAACACATCCACCACTATGCACCCATACACGAAACACGACACACGACACTCATGCACACAAATTATTCAGCTGTCTTCATTCTCCAATCAAGGCATACCGCTAAAGACATCTCTTCGAAACTATCTTTATCCCTAGCTAATCTCCATCTATCCCCCTTCCAACCCTTTACTTATACATCTTACTCACCATAACATAACCATCATCAGCCCCACCAGCCAACGTAGAGACAGAAGCCGTAGCAGCAGGTGCCTCCTAAGCAGTCGACTTGCTGAACTGAATCAACCGCTTAACACCAACCTAGTCGTTCATTAGCATATTACTCAAACATGTGCAAATCTCATATAAACTTACCATCCAGTTACTCCCCTCATCCGTCTTATTCGTCATCAAATCCGAAAAGATGGCGACGGCAGCATCATACTGCTTGGCTTGGATATTGGCAGCGAGTTCATTCATTGATTGGATAGTGTCGGGTTTGAGCAGATCCTCGTTGTTGAGATGGTCGAAGAGGATGTTGAGCCGCTTCTCGGTATCGGCGACATGCTGTTTGTACTGCGCTGGTGCCTTGGCCTTGACGCGTTGGAGGTCTGCGTCGAGGATCTCGTAGATGGGACGGGACGCATCGGGGATGTGGGATCGGTCGCCGGGGGCTGTTGCGTGTTAGACTGAGATAATCTATATGATTCGGAATCACTTACGGTACTTAGGCGCTGCTTGCGCTGCCGCTTGCGACTGGCCGGTGCCAGGTCGGGAATCTGGCCTTGGTGGTCCACCCTGAGGACCGCCTGGAGGACCGCCTGGAGGAGGTCCTGCCCGCGGAGGTCCTTGAGGTGGGCCCCTTGGTGGTGGTGCTGCAGCTGCGGGTGGCATTTGTTGCGCAGGTGATGGTGCGTACGGTGATCCTACGGGTGTGAACTGGCCTGGAGGAGGCGCAATGTTTCGTGGCGGTGGCATTCCGCCCATTGGTCCAGGTGGAGCTGTTGGTTGCGAGCCCGGAGCAGGAGCGTAACGGTTCGATGGCGGGGCAGCAGCAGTTGGTGGTTGGTATGGCGACGCTCCACGCTGTACTGGTGCCTGCTGTGGAGGTGCGAAGCCAGCAGGTGGTGCAGCGTAATTGTTTGCCGCTGGCGCTGGTGCATATGGGTTCGGGGCACCAGTTGGGGGTCCAGACGGAGGGGAAGTCATCCGAGGGGGGCCTTGAGGGGGGCCCTTTGGAGGAGGTGGAGGTGTTGACCTTGCTCCTGGCGAGAACGGACCTTGAGGTGGACCTGCGAGGGGCTGCTGCTGGTTCGGGAACGGAGAAGCTACAGTGTTCATAGGAGTACCACGACGCGAAGCTGGCTTGGGGGGACCAAAGTCTGGTGTGTCATTCCAGGCAGGAATACTGCCCCTGTTGGCTGCTGGCACGATTGATGGCGAGTTCGAGAAGTTGCGTGGTGGGGGTGCGATTCCGCCTTGTTGAGGCGCTGGGTTATAACCATACCCCTGAGGCTGAGATGGCTGGTAACCAGCCGGCGTGTACGCGTTTCCGGGTGCTGCTGCTGGTGTGAATGTTGATGGTCCAGTGGGCTGAGCTTGCGAGGAAAGGGGGTTGGCTGGAGCATAAGGCGACGCTCTTGGTTGTGTTTGCATGGGGTTGACCGGAGCGTAGGGTGTCTGCTGGGGCGGTGCCGGTGTTGCTTGTGCAGGCTGTCCATACGACGGGACCACAACTTGACGACGACCAGCAGTGGTTGATTGGGCCTGTTTTTGTGCTGCCGCAGGCTGAGCTGCAACCTTCCTGGTGGCTTGCTTGACCCGGTTCCTGGCCACATCTGCTGCAGGGTACTTCTGGGGCAGGAGATCCAGATACTTCTCCGCGATTGCGAGCTGACCGTGGGCAGATGCGATGTCAGCGTATTCAACGTACTTTGCGTACAGGGGCTCGAGTTTCCAGTCGTCCTCCTTTTGCTGTTCGGCGTCCTTGAAGTTGGTGACTTTTCGGAACACGGTAACCTTCTCGATGAACTCCTGTAGTGATCGTGCGTGGATAGAGAAACTGTTGTCGCCGTCGGTCTGCTCAATACCTGCCTTCTCACTCTCCTGAAGCTCCTGTGCCCAGTTGACAACAACCTTCTCAAGCTTGGAACCAGCCAAGTAGCAGAAAGACGCGTCTTTTCGGTACGTTCCTTCCTCTTCGGAGATGGCTTCTTCAAGGCGGTCTCCGAGAGCCTCGCAAAGGTCGGGGAAGTCAGCCTGGTCGGCAAATGTGCAGATCGTAGCCATGACTTCCTTCCAGTCCTTGAGATCAGCGTTGTATACAAAGTCCCACAAGTTCTTTCCGACCACTGACGCAAGTAGGCGTAGATAGTTGGGTGCGTCGGACTGCCTCTTGAAGTATGCAGCCTGTGCCTTGGCGATGCACTTCTCTCCACCGCAGATGGCAATCATGAAAGCATCTGACAGTCGGTTCTCCTTTAGGCACACGTCCAACGCCGCATTGAAATCGCCAAGCATGAGATTACGAGTGATCTTGGTGTCGGCTTCAGACTCGGAGCCTGTGTAGATCTGGAAGGGGTTGTTGGTCTTGGCGCCCTTGGAAGCCGCGAGATCGGACAGGAAGTTGCCCTCATCTGTCGCGTTGTCAAAGAATGAAGACCCCTCGTCCGCATCGCCATCTGTCTTCTCTTCCTTCTTCTCTTCTTCTGGCTCTTCATCCTTGTCAGAGAAGCCCAGGTACTCGACAAGCTTGCTTCGCGGGTTCTCCGACGTGAGAGTCTCAATCACCGTCCAGTCAGCCTTCTCCTCCTCATTGGCTGCCTTTGAGATCTTGTCCTCGCAGATTGCCGTAATGTCGCCCTTGTCTAGAGCCTTGTCGAACTCCTCGCTCGCTGCGCTGACGTCCGAATCCACCGCAAATGTCGAGATGGAGATCTTGGACTTGTTGTCAACGATGCCGAATCGTACCAGCTTTCCACCAAAGCCAAAAGCCACACCCGCTCTCCTCTTCAGCCACTTCGGGGGTGTCTTGAGAGAGAACGATGCGCCCTGGGGTTCCGCATGGGTCTGGGCGAAGAAGTCCTCGCCTGCAGGCGCTTCCGTCGCCGCCTTGTTCTGGTCCGCGCCAGCCCCAGTGTTTTGTAGTGTTTGAACTGCGATCTTGCCGTCGAAGGATGCGGTCGCGAGGAGGTTTGGGTTCGAAGGGTTGAATCTGGTCTGGAAGGTCCAGTTTGTCACGACTGGGAACTCTCCCAATTGCTCTCCGGTGTGCGGGTTCCAAGCAATAGTCCTGTTGTCCTTGCCGCAAGACAACAAAAGGTCGCTGTCTTGCACACACCACGAAAGTGACAGTACACCCTGGTCGTGTGCCTGAAGTGTCTTCTCTGGCGCATTGGTATTGCGGAGGTCCCACACCAGTACGAGCGGGTTCTGGTCGGTCGGGATAGCTGTGACTAGCCTCGTAGGCACATTGGGGTCCCAGGAAACAGCGCTGACTGTTTTCCGTCCATAGTGGTTTAATGTGAGGTTCTCCTTCTTGAGCTTGACGTCCCAGACGGTGACAAAACCGCCGCTGCTGCCAGTTGCCAAAATATGCGCAACCTTCTTGTTCCAGTCCAGTGTAGTGTATTCGTCGGGGTTCGCTCCAGCCTTGCCGAGGCGGAAGGACTTGGAGTCGTCGGCGAGGTCGTGAACGAAGAGTTCGCCTTTGGCACCGGCCGAGGCGAGGATGTTGGATCGGAAGGGGTTGAACTGTATCGCCTGGATGGGGCCGGTGTGCTTGTCGATCTGGTCAATTTCCGCATCGTCGCTGCATAAAGTCAGCACTCTGTGGTTGCATGCAACTGTCCATGCGCTCTGACCCTTCGCCTGCCTGCAGCTTCTCTGCGTCCCATAGCACGAGTGCCCCGCTGTCGAGTGCGCCCGCTATTATGCCCCGCGGGTACTGTTCGCTGGGTTGACTCCACGCAATGTCGTTGAACCTGGCATGACGTTTAGTTCTTTGATCCCAATGGCTTGGACATCTTCTCTAGTACCTCGATTCTACGCTCACAGTAGCAACAGGCTTGAGTTCGACTCCCTGCTCGCTGTCGTCCAACTTGAGCTCCCAGAGCTCTAATTGTGTTTCATTCGAAAAGTCGGCATCTACAGCCCCAGCCTTGGTTCCGGTAGCAATCAGGGGCTGCGTCGGGCCTGGCGACCAAGCGAAACAGGCGGTCCGGGGGATTTCTCGTAGGCGGACCATGACGGTGTTGGGCGGTGATGGCGCCTCGGTGTCAGATTAGCGAATTGGAGAACACGGCACGAACAAAATGATGGACAAGGGAGCGAGTTTTGTAGAGCGCGACGAGACGGTTATGTGGTGTTAAAGAGAGTCCGCAATGTGTCTTGAGCGCGGACTGGGAGTTAAGGCAACGACGTGCTTCACCATGGAGCATCCACCTGTCCTTCCCTAGTCCATGGCGGGCGCGCCAGCCAAGGTGGGTCCCGCTAACCACGTGATATCGAATTTCAGCGCGGAACCTTTGGAACACGACTATCCTACCAACAAAGTCTCGAATCGCATTCCACAGGCAACCATGTCAAATTTATCAGACACGTCACGACTAAAGGCCACCGTGTTCGTCGGCGGCCTCGACCAGGCAGTTACGCAGCAGACGCTTTTCCACGCCTTCCTGCCTTTTGGCGACATTGTTGAAGTCAACTTGCCCAAACCGGAGAACCAGAGCCAGGGCGATCAACATCGGGGGTTCGGCTACGTTGAGTTTGAGACTGCAACCGATGCGACAGACGCTATCGACAACATGGACCGGAGCGAGCTGTACGGTTCTGTCATCAAGGTAGCAGCAGCCAAGCCACAGAAAGACGCGAATGAAGGTTTAGGCAGCAAGACAGCCATTTGGGAGCAGGTATGTGTTCTTTATTGTAAGTTTGTATGACTGGTATGCTAACAGAATGCAGGAGGGCTGGCTGGCCAAGCACGCCGTGAGTGAGGAAGATCGCAAAGCGAGTGAGCAGATCCAAGAGGAGGCGAATGGACCCATGGACCCTATGCAGGGCCTGGAGGGTCTTGACGAGGCTGGGCCGAAGCCAGTGTAATCTCTTTGATCCTTTGGTCTCATAGCATGGTGTTTGCAGGCGTTTGGGAAATATTTGATACCAGGTGCTCCGCAATATCACAACTACAATTCAAGAAGCGCGACATGAATCACTGGTTTTAGCTGCCTAAAATATCAACGTGAGCCACACTATCATCACCTACACATTCAAACCCACGACATAACACAAAGGGATCTCATGCTTGATTATCGAACGTGACTCGGACTCTATCCCGTATGCTGTACCTATACACAATGGCTGCTGGAGCCCTTCCAAGCCCGCCGATTCCATCTTTCCTGTGTCCGGTTCCTTCCTTGTCGACCAGACATCTAGTCCTGCTTGCCCTGTCGCTTGAGACGGAGCGTCTTGTCGACCCAGAGTTTCCGGAAGATGGAGAAGATGGCCATGCCGACGGCGATGCTGTAGATGTATTAGACTACTTGTAATGGGGGTATGGGGGTGTATGCGGGCGCAATGGAGGGGCTTACGCGAGGACGAAGACTAGAGTTTGGGTTAGCAAGGAGTCAGGGATGCGGATGGGGAAAGGGATGGGTGTAGACGTACTCAGAGGCCAGATCTCAGTGGGGATGTTCTTGAGCTGGCGGATGCGCTGAGATACGGTGTGGGCTATATGGTCAATCGTCAATTCATGTTCGAGGGCATAAAGTGGACGCTGTGATTGGCTTACCGCCGTGCTCCTCCTTCTATATTGTTGTTAGCATCAAGTTTCCAGAAGATAGGGTTCAGCGAGGCATACGGGGACGGGGTTGCGCAGGCCCATTGTCTGCCTCATGAAGAGCTGGGGGCTCTGGCGCATGGCCATCATGCGCGTAGGTTGCATGGCCGCCATGCGTGTCGGCTGCATGGCCATCATACGAGTTGGCTGCATGGAGAGGGCGCGGGTAGCTTTGAACATGGTGGCGGTATTGCTATGTTTGCAATTGGGGTGGAGAGAAGTTTGTAGACGCTGTCGTGGGGATCAAAGGTCGTCTTCGCGGGCTTTCGTCACAGTGAGGCACGCAGATGCTGAGAGAGCTCGCGGGCCTGTCGCCCGGAAAACGCCGAGCGAATTGTGTGTGGACAATGCGTTTCGGGTCGAACCATCGCAACCTCACAACTTCACTTCCGTCACCACTTCAACTGCAACGCCGCCTGCCATTGCCGCCACGCCCACGCCCGAACCACGCCCAATACCCCATCGCAATCATGTCTGACAACGAGAACGGCGAGAACGGCGACGAGCTCGTAACCAAGCCCTTCAAGTTTGTCACTGGTGAGCTTTTCCCACTGCTCCGCATGTCGAGCTTCAATCGCTAATCTGCCGCCGCACAGCTGGTACGCCCTCCCCGTACTTGCACACCGCCCTGCACCGCCTGCCAAAATGACTCCTGGAGCTCGAGATAGGCCATATTGGGTGCTAACATGCTTCGGCGCATATAGGCTTCGATGCCCGCTTCCCCAACCAGAACCAGACCAAGCACTGCTGGCAAAACTACGTCGACTACCACAAGTGCATCATCGCCAAGGGCGAGGACTTTGCCCCCTGCCGCCAGGTACGCGACCCAAAAAATGTCGGATTGAAGATGGGCATGTATGCTGATGGATTTAGTTCATGTTGGCCTACAAGTCTCTGTGCCCCAGCGGCTGGACATCGCGATGGGACGACCAGCGTGGTGAGTAATCCGCTTTAGACGCCTTGCTTGAATGCGCAGCGGGCTTTCGCAAGAGATATAGCTAACATCTGTATAGAGGCTGGCAACTTCCCCGTGAAGCTCGACCAGTAGAAAGTTCGCGACAACACCCAGCATGCGACAGTTTCTTAGAGCAGGATATGATTGGATCAGAGTGGCATCTGCAACTTAGAGCCCTGTATCATAGCGATCGATATCAGCAATGCGACTCTGGTTCATCTACTTTGCCACCCCACTGCACCGCTACCTCGTGATGTCATGACTATCTTCGCGTGACACGATTAGTCTCCCCGTCGTTTGTCTAGCCCTGCATATCGTAGAAACCGTCGTACCACGTATGCAGACCTGGTGTTTCAGACTCGCCATACAAAGTTCATCACATGCATATCCACGCAGATCCGACCAAACTTGCTAGTAGTGTCATACATTATCATTTCAAAGATGCTCGATACACGAGATATATAGTGAGTGTAGCCAATTTGCAGTAAAGTTGGGACTTTCTATCAGACAAGATAAGGGGTGGGTGAATCGCCGCTTGATAAACAACGCTAAGTTGACAGAGGGACAAAAGAGCAAATGAACAAAGTGACCGCCCATTGCGCCGCAAGGCCAAACCGCTAAATGCATGCAAGACCTGCTCTGCTATAAACAATCATGAAGAACTCAGGCTATCAAGCCGAGTAGATAAGGCTGTATGTTAGATTTGGGGTATCGACGAGCTCGCCTAGTTCGGCCATGCGTTCACTGCGAAATTGCCGATATACTTCGGCTGTCCACACACCGGCAGTGAATACATGGGCAGAGGAATGTAAGACTGGTACGGCTCAGAGCCCAGCACAATCTCATGACCATCACATTGAAACCGTTTGAGAGCCCAATTCGGGTCATCAGTCCGCAGGTCCTGCTCCTCCTCTTCCTCTTCCTCCTCGAGAATAACAGCATTCGCGTCGTCGCCATGAGCGCTATCCTTGCGCCAGTGCTTTCCCTGATCCAAGACCTCACCGATACTAGATAGCGAAGACGTCGCTGCCGCAGCTGGTTGGTAGGTAGCATCGTAAACTTGGCGAGACTCTGGGTCCATGAGACAATCGAAGCCATTCTGCAGAGCACGGTACTTCTTCGCGTCGTTGGTGAAGTAAACAGAGCGTAGACGGCGATAGGCAGCTCTGATCTCGTCGTTGGAGGCCTTGGGTGTGAGTTCGAGGATAGCGTAGTGATCGACAACGTCGGAGGGGTCGCTCGTCGGCGAGGCCATGGGTGTGCGTGTGAGATAGCTTGCGTCTGCGACGTATATCGAGGACCGCTTTGCGTGCTGTACCATGACAGAGTTGTCTGCTACGCTAATGGGCCGGGGGCGTTGGATAGCTTCAGACTGGTTGCGCCCGTGGTTGTTGAAGCGTTTGTGCGGAGAGGGAGAACGCAGTGGGCTGAAATTTATCTTGCACATTTGCTCGGAAGGAGGTTGAAAGCTTGGAGTCGGAGACATTGTGGTGTACGTGTGGGTGGTCATTATGTACTAGCAATAGCAAGGTAGGTGGTGTGTCGTATGGTAATAATAGAGGATGCTAAGTGTAGTGGGTGGCGCTGTTCAAAGTAGAGATGCTGTGAGATGCTGTTGTTGTGTGAAGACGCAGTGTGGGAAAACATTGAATGATCAGGACATGTCCTAGACCACATGGACAGGGCAGCATGGTGGGTGCGCACAATGCAGGGGATAGGTGTAATCACAGGGGGGCACAGCAAGTGGAGCTCTAGGCCGAATCGCGAAATGAAGATGTTGTGAATGGAGTAATTAATCAAACAACGGGCTAGGGGGGTCGGCGCGATGAAACAGAATGCAGTTGCTGGCCTAGCAAGCTCGACCAATGCCAAAGGGTCCAGGGCGGCACTGGTAGGCTGTCAGTGCTTCGGCCAAACACGTGCGGACGTGACGAATGACTCCGCGCTAGTAGGCCCGTTGGTGTGGAGATCTCGCTAAGATTTCAGTCGCCGCGACCGTTGGCCCAGTGAGCTTGTTATAGCATAGCATAAACTGATAGAACGTCCCACCATGGCCGATAGCTCGAGGAAGAGAAAGCAGCCCTCCAACACGGGCCCCGCCAATCCTGTCAAACGCACCCGGTTCCAGCAACGCCCGCAGTATGTCATCCCCGCGGTTCCGACTACCAACGCGTACCCCAATGGCGAGATCAACGTCAAGAACTTTCTCAAGTCGCACGAGAATGAGATCAAGTCGCTCGAGGGCGCCATGAAGGCGGCCAAGAAAGGGCTTTCGCGACGGGCTTTTCAAGATGTGCCGAGGGAGTTGAGGAGGAGGACCGCAAGCCACAATCCGCAGCGCGTACCGAAGAGATTGCGGACCAGGGCGCGACAGGAAGCTAAAGAAGACAACACGCCCATTGCTAGAGGTACCAGTGGGAGCGGTGTTGGGAAGGGCAAGAAGAAGTTTCTGAGGAAAGAGGGGAGGGAGCAGAGTAGGCAGAAGGCGAAGAAGAGGAAGGATGGCAGTGGGAAAGAAGACGACGACGGAGATGTGAAGATGGAGGATGCACCGAAGCAAGTTACGAAGCCCTCACCACCGAAGCCGAAGCGCAAGTTCCCGCCCTTGGCCACGCCCGCTACCCCTCCATCTCGATTCCGCAGACGCCAGCGAGACAAGACATGGCTTCCTACGCATCTGTGGTATACCAAGCGCGCAAAGATGACGGACCCTAAGGAGCCGCTCTGGCGGTTTGCCATACCATTGCAGCCAGCGGTCAAGGCATACCGTCTCACACATAGAGCTGTAACCCAGCGGGGAGCTGTCGCATGGGATATGAGTTACATGTCTACTCTCAGCCTGGAGGGTCCTGAAGCCAGTATAGCGGGGCTACTCAAGGGTCTTCACTTCTCTGCAGAGGGCGCAGAAGACCCATGGCAGAACAGGGGCAGAGCTAAGAAGTGGAGGAATGGCACTAGGACCTGGGAAGGCTGGATATACGAAAGAGAAGCGGAGCTGCTGATGAAGACTGCTCAGGTGACTGTCATCTGGTGTGCACCGCATGCAGATGGCAAGAAGACGAAAGCTCTCATCCGGGTGCATCCGAGCGCTTTCTTACACCTCTGGGAGGAAGTTGTTCGGACGGCCAAGGTGCAGAAGCCAGCTGTTACCGTTCGAGATGTCCGCTTTGATATTGGATCGATTGAGATTACAGGCCCTGCCGCTGCGGAAGCCCTCTGCTCTATTCTTGCACCTGTGCCTTCCTCAGAGGCTGGTTCTGATACTCCACAGTCACTCTGGCCGACTTTGGCCTCTGTGACGGACGCTGCATCGTTACCAGCCGGTGCGCTGTTGGCATTTGACGTTTCAGATCCCCGACTCCGCGATCCTCCTCGCACTTCGCCAGTAGCACACGATCAGCAGTCGCTGACTGCCTTGACGAAAACTCTCGCAACTTGGCCAGTCGACAACACTCTGACTGCAGCCTCAATCTTCGACACCAACAGCCGACTGGCCGCACAGCGAACCATGCCATCTCAGAAATCCATCAACCGTCGGAAGGGTGCATGCACATTAGGCGAAGACCCAGAAGCCCGATCCACGGATCCACGTATTCCGACTCTTGTATTTACATCACGAGACAGCAAGTCTTGGACGGTTCTCCTTCCTTGGAAATGTGTCATGCCTGTATGGCGACAGATTATGCGCTACCCGGTTTCCACAGGCGGCAACCCTAGATTCGGCGGCCTGAAAGAGAGACGGCAGGTCGACTTTGAGCGCTCGAAGCCGCACTTCCCGTACGATCATCCTGGTACAGAGGCCGGCTGGGCCTGGGAATTGCGTGAGCGCGAGGTGAGGAAGCATGAATGGACTAAGCGTCCGAAGGGTAAGAGGATTGAATGGTCGACTATTGATCTTGGTAAGGGTAGGAAGGGCGAGATTGGAGATCCGTGGTCTTGCGACTGGCAGCGATTGATTGCAGATGTGTCTTCATATCAAGAGTCTCGGGCTCCCGTCAGACAGCTCTCTTTCAGACAAGCAGCTGGCTTGATTGATGGTCCAGCCTCATCGAGCGGCCCATTATTGCCAACAGGCGTATTCACTGTCAAGATCACAATGGTCCAACGAGGCACCCCTACAGACTGCGCTCGCATCTACCGACTGCCTACCGACCCACAACTTCGGGGCCAATGGCTTGCCCTGCTGCCACAACCCGGCACAAAGCGTACGTCGACGAAGCAACAGCGCCGAGGTGTCGTTAAGCAACCAGACCACCTCCAGCGCAGGGATCTTGCAAGGAGTCTCCTAGACAACGGCCCACCGAGCGCTGGCGAGGAGAATTACCCTCTAGTCCCTGACGAAGTGGATCTAATCGGCTTCGTCACAACGGGCAACTTCAACCTCGCAGAGGGCATGCCGACCGCGGTTGCGAATCTGGTAGTGCACAGGGTGCTCACTCCTGGAGCTGACTCGGGCGTACCGAAATCGGATCGCGTGTGCATTGTGCGACAGGCGGGAAGTACCATCGGCAGGCTGGCGAGATGGGAGGTAGTCTAGGTAGCGTAGATAGCGTAGACGGACGGACGACCTGAATGATACCCATTGCTTGTTGCAGTCACATGCATCAGTGGAGACGCAGCAGCTCCACCGCAAATTCTTGGGTGAACACGCAGTTCTCGGTGTGTGGGTTTTGGGTGTGTGGGGTAGGTCGATTCTGGCTGCATGCGCTAAATCGGTGCCGGAGCAGGGATGCGTCGATGTCTCCCGTACTGGACGCTAACGTCTCAGCAACCATTTCTCCACGCCCTGAACACTCCCGTCCACCAAGCCCAGCTGCGTCATGTCTGAGGACCGCCCGGCAGACGACCAGGGCGAGGGCGTCGACGCTGCCGTCGGCCTGCCATCCGACGCGCTGGCAGAATTGGTACGCCTGTCCGCCGCAAACCGCCTCCTCGGCTATGCGTGAGTGTTGCGCCTTGCTAAGAAACGTGTCGCAGACTACCAACATCCTCGACGATTTGCTGAGCAACATCGTCTTCACCACGGCCCTGTCATGCCACCGCTCCGAGAAGCTGCTTCGCATGCAGTCGGCCGCCACCCAGGCCGAGTCCATCGCCCTCGCAAACCTCGAGCCCCAGTCGCAGAAGCAAAACACCACGGGCGCCACGTCGATACCCATCGCTGAGACGACCGCAGCCAAGTACGAGAACGGACGCGTCTTCCTCAAGGGCAACCCGCTCAAGACAACACCCGAGATAATATGTCCGCACTGCAAGCTGCCCCGGCTGATGCACCCCATCATGGGCAAGGGCATGCAGAACCCGGACCTGACCAAAGAATACTGCATGCTGTATCCGTGGGTCCAGCGATCCGGGCACGATGTCTACGGCAACCCCTTCCCCACCGACATGGCCAAGAGCAAGAAGGAACGCGAGCTCATCAAGCAGCAGCAGAAGAACGCCGAAAAGGAGAGCGTAGGCACCCCCGGCTCCCAAGACACCGACATGGCCGGCGGCGACACCAAGGAGATCAAACTCAATACGGGCGGCAAACCCGCCTCGTACATCCCCTGGCACACCTGTCCCAACTGCAAGCGCAGCTTACTCATAACGCGATTCGCCCAACACCTCGAAAAGTGCCTCGGCATCAGCGGCCGCCAGTCCTCGCGCAACGCCATGGCTAAACTCACCGGCCAAAATGGCACCGGTTCAGGCGTCGGCAACACTCCGCTCGGAAGCCGCATGGGCACTCCTGCTCCTGGCTCCCAAGACCCCTCCGAGAAGACAAAAACAAGCAGTAAATCAAAGGGCATTTCGCCCGTCAAACGCTTCGCCGCCACCGACGACGCCGACGACTTCGACGCAGACGATACCCCCGAGCGCCGCAAGATGAAGAAAAAAAGCTCGTATATCAAGAAAGCTGATCGTGATAAACCGTCTAACGGTACCGGTGGAAGTAACGGCACGTTGAAAGTCAAGTTAAAAACAGGGAGGCCTGATATGGGTGATCGGAAGCATAGTGAGAGTAGTGAGAGGGGCGAGGGGAAACGCGATAGAGATGTTGATGATGTGGGTGGTGATTCACCCAAGAAGAAAAAGATTAAACTTAGTCTTGGTGGTGGGGGGAAGGAGAGGAGTAGGGCGAGTGCAAGTGTGGAGCCCGGGGGTAGTGTAGCGAGTCCGGAGTAGAGTTCCGTTGAAGAAGAGGAGGAGAAGTGTCTGGCTAGTCCGGAGTAGAACTCCTCTATGGATGCTGAAGGGGAAACAGATGAAGATGTGGATGGGGGTACTGATAGAGATGCGGATGGGGATACGGATGAAGACGTGGATGGGCAATGGGAGTCGGAATAACGCTGAGGTTGTAAAGAACGGGTGTAACATGTACTCGACCAACGTAGCATGGGGATAGGCGTTTTAGGGCTTTTTTCTTTTTTGGGGGGTTTCGGAACGGAAGAATTTCGGTGTTCGACGGCTTTCATAATACCATGGCATGGGAACTGGGTGCTGGGAAGATGGTTCACCCAGTGGCGTTTTTCTTTTGCGTTTTGTGGGAGTGGAGGTATTTGTATGATTATTATCAGAAGGAGGGGAATGGAAATCAAGACACGACTGCTTAGGCGGCAAAGTATCGTTCTCTCAAGAAGATGTTCATCGCCTTTGTGGTGGAGTTTGTCGGATATGTGTCCTACATCTCCTGGTATCTTGCCTACCCATCTTGCCTCATGAGATGTTCCATGGGTGTTGTGAGAAGTCATTTATTTCCCATCTCCGTCCTGCTGGAGACTATGATATTGCTGAGAGTTAACGAAAACGTACCCTGCACAGGGCACAGGGGCAGTTCAAAGAGTTGTAGAGTACGATTTGGCATAATGGAGGATTTTGGGGGAGGGCCTTGGCATACCGTCGGCCACCCACAAACAGTCTCGCCACAGCAATTCAATGGAGATGTCAGAAAGAGAGAAAACACAGAGCTTCAATTCAAAATGCATTGGGTGGCATTGTAGATTACTAGGAGACCCGTTCAAGAGGACATATCATCCATATAAGCTCGGGCTGAAGAGAGACGGCCAGCGACGACAAGGTCCACAGGCAGGCACCCCTAAACCCCGATGCATCGAATCCATGCAGTCTCCCTATTGGCCTCGAAGGCTCGAAAGCCCCTCACTTACAACGTTGGACGCTCATACTGACTTCGACATTAGACACACCCCCATCCCAATCCGGAAGTGTGCAAAAGTGCACTAGAGTCATACAAGTCCTGTGAATCCCTGTCTTTTCGAACGAATCGAGTCTCTCCAAACTACTTGCGAGCGTGGGAGTCGATTGCTGCAGAAGAGCAAGCAACCGAGGGGGCGTGGTGATGGGAGCCAGAGCCCGGGGGTGTCAGGCGGGAGAAAGCTTGGCGGGCTGATCCCGCACTGTATATACTCGCACCGCCCACCACCCACCTCCGGACCCCTTCCTCTCTCCTCCTCCCCACTGCCCCTCTCCACATAACCATCCCACAACATCTCTTCTTGGCCTTAGAACCAACTTGGAGGACTTGAGAAGACTTTCAAGATCACTTCCAACTCCTTCTGGCTTTTCCCATAACGCTGACTGCAGTGGGATACCACCATGCCGTCGTCGTCGTCGCCATCACTCCAGTCAACCCATCAGGCACCAGCCATGTCGGAACAGAAGCAAGAGGGGTATGGGTATCGTCAGACGACATACCACAATGGCCGCGGCGTCCAGATCGAGGAATCTCGTCGTCGCTCCTGGGCGCTCCGCAAAGTCGAGCCTCCAGTCCAGACATATACCGACTTCGTCTTATACCCCTTGGATAACAATCATACATATCCACGAAGCAGTCTTCGACAGGTCGAGCAATCTCACCCCGCACTGAGAGGTAGGGCTACGGGACTTGGTGAGAGACACGTGACACACGTGACTTCCGCCAAGCACGTGTCTAAAGGAAAATCGAAGCCAGTGGTTATTCATGGCTCAGCAAAGTCGAACAGAGAATTGCCGGTGGAGTCGAAGGGGGTTTCGAACTCCTCTGCGGGGCCAACGCCTCCTCCTACACCTAGGCTAGGCCGGTTGCCAACACCTGAGCTGGATGATCTGGATGAGGCGCCATTTTGCGATTGTGGTGTGGAATCGCATGTTATTAAGCGTTGTACGGAATGCGGCTTGGAAGTCGATCCCTGGTCGGCGTGACCTCCTCTTGGCCAGTTTTCTCGGTACCTCCATGTCTTGATGGTCGCCTCACTGGGCCTGGCGTTGTGGTTCCTTTCTTCGGCTTTCCTTTGTCTCCTGAAGCGAAGGCTTATTTTCTCATGAGAGATCGAGCATCGCGAATGAATCCTGCTGCTTCATGCTGCTCAATCTGATATCCCCTTATGAGCCCGTCGTTACTTTCTCAACGTCTTTTCTTACGACTTCTGGGGCGTTTGGCGTTTGGTTTCCTTGGCGAGAAACAAAGTAGTCATACCACTCTTAGCGTATCCTATCCGTAGCGATGACAGTGCTATCCCAAACTGATTGCTCCTGACCTACACGTCTGGAATGGCCTAGGACGAGGAGATTATTCCTGCGGCCGTTCGCTCTCTACAACGAAGTATTTGCCAGACTTTCGTTCCGCCGAGCCCAGAACATCCCAGTCCTCGACATCTTCCGCATCTGCAGGCGTAGTATCCCGTTGCAGCCGCTTGTGATGCTGTCCTATAACCTTCTCTTTACCCAGGGCGTCTTTGAGTGTCTCCAACGTAATCGTCTGCTCTTCTTCTGCAGCCATCGTCTCATCCCGTATAGCCCGTAATGGCTTCACACCCGTTGTATCCACCTCCTGTATCTTGCCCACAAAGTGCAATTGCGCTGCTAGTGTATCTAGCATCTTCTGTTCTTGTTCGGCCGTTTCTGGTGGTGGGAGGGCTGATAGGCGTAGCAGGTGATGTAGTTGTTGAGAGGTAATCCGAGGAGCGTCGGGAGCACGCGTCTTCGGTGGTCGTAGAGACTCGACGGACCAGGTGGGCTTTGCTAGAAGCTCTTCGAGTTCGTCGGGATGTATACCCCCGTTCTTGCGTGCGGACTTTTCCTCGGCGGGGTCCTTATATAGTCGTACATGAGAAGACGTGTAGGAGCGTATCTGTAGGTACTGTGAAGTCTTGCAAAACCTCGTGAACGCAAACGCGCGACGTGCGGCCATGGTGGATGTGATGCGCGAGGCGGGGTAGGACGTTCGTCGAGCCGGATCAGAATTTCGTTGTATACCGTGCGATATTTCAGCGTAGCATTATAATGGCAATCTTTCTCTTCTATCGCGAGGTCTGAGCGACGCTGCTGTGGATGTAAAGTCGTGAAGCTCGAGGCGGTTGCAAACACTAGTGCGGATGCAGTAACGCCGCCGCCGAGGTCACAGCCCTCGCATGGACCAACGTGGGTCGTCATCGCTCATTGAGACACCAAGTGCAGCCACCTGTCTCGACCAAAGTTTCAACATTACGTCTGCCTGCACAGTCACATCCTCTATTCAACCCCTCTCATCCTCGTATACCACCAACTCTAGAAAATACAGCGAATATGGCCGGTGATCCACGAGCGCTGCTGCGACAGGTGGGGCCTACACTCACGACTCAGCCACACAGCAGATAACTGATATCGAGGTGGACAGGCAGAAACATCATTGCAGAAGGCAGGCGGTGGCTTCAGTTTCTTCAGTAACAAGGCAGACAAGTGTATGACACAGACCGCGGCATATGTGCCCTTTTTGGCTGACGCACGTGATAGATGAGGCAGCCGCAGAGCAGTTTATCGCTGCAGCAAATGCGTTCCGCATGCAAAAGATGGGTATGGGCAGACGGATCCTGCAACACAACGCGATCTTGCAGGTTAACGAAGTTCAGGCAAGGAGGCAGGCGAGGCTTTCGAAAAGGCAGCATCAGTACAACGTCAGCACCTGAACGAACCTGATGACGAAGCAAACACGCTCACAGACGCCTTCAGTATGCTTCTACTCTCACGTTAATTCAGCTTCAACTAATACGACATCAGAGGCCTACCGCAAAGATGACCCAGAAGCAGCTGCGAGGTGTTTAGACAAAGCCATTGCGCATTACTGTGCCAAAGGCAACTTCCGCCGTGCAGCCACTCACAAGCAGAACCTTGCCGAGCTCTACGAAGTCGAGCTTGGTGACAACGCCCGAGCCGCAGCCGCCTACGAGGAAGCGGCTGGATGGTACGAGAGCGTAAGTACTACATCATAATGTACTCTTGACCACATGCTAACTTGTCTCTAGGACAACGCCGAAGTAATTCACCCAACACCCAACTTTTTGGCAAAAACTAACCCACCCCCACAGGCACTCGCCAACAAGCTTTGGCTCAAGACTGCTGATCTCGTCGCTTTAGAAGGCAAGGACTACTACAAAGCCATTGAGCTTTATGAAAAGGTCGCCAGGACCTCTATTTCCAACAACCTCATGCGCTGGTCCGTCAAGGAGTACCTTCTCAAAGCTGGTATCTGCCAGCTATGCACAGGCGACCAGGTTGGTGTCAACACTGCGCTTGACAGGTACAGGGAGCTAGATCCAAGCTTCCAGCAGCAGAGGGAGCACGCGTTGCTCGTTGACTTGGCAGGTGCGGTGCAGGAAGGCGACCAGGAGATGTTTGCTGATAAGGTATGTTCTCCTTTTGACCTACGCTTTCCAAATATGCGTTATGTTGACGCGTAATAGCTGTTCCAATTCGACCAGCTGAGCAAGCTCGATAAGTGGAAGACTACGCTTCTGTTACGGGTCAAGAACACAATTGAAGAGGGAGGCGAGGACTTCTCGTAGAAGCCAGTTATTTGGAAGAGTTCCTGCTCTGTACGGCGCTTTAGTTCACTTTTGTGTTTGGTATAGGCACTCCTTGTCTTTGGGCCTACAATAGAATGAGATCTGGCAGAACCACCGTATGAAGCACGAAGTAAATGCGATCTCTGTATCAATTCGCTCATCTGCTATTCAATTCATACGCGTGCTATTGTGAAGTACCTGCTCCGCTGGGAGACAAGGCTATTATACAAGGAATATGTCGTAAAGATTGTCGCGCTGCAAGAACATACAAATTCAGTGCTCATACAAAGCCATCGCTTACAACTCCATGTTCTCAACAAGAGGCTGAAGGCGTTCCTTGAGCTCCTCGACGCTAAGCTCCTCACCCTTCCAGAAGACCTGCTCGCCACCAGCGGTCTTGGGTGGGATCAAGACGTTGGAGACGACCTGGATAACACCGTCGCTAGCAACACCATCGTGGATGGTAACGCGCGAGAAGCCGTTGATCCTAATCTCAACAAAAGGTCCGTAGCGGCCGACGTCCACAGCGAGGTTCTTGCCGCAAAGGACAGTGGGCATGTCGTAGTGGTAGCCTCCAGGACGCTCCTGAACAGAGTCCTTGTCATCCTTCTTCCGTCCATCGTAGAATGCATCAGAGTAAAGCGTCTCATCAACAACCATGTGGTATTCTAGCAGAGCCTTGAGGTATTTCTCTCCGTACTTTGAGAACAAGAAAGCATTGGCACGCTCACCAAGTTTCTGGAATGCAAAGTTGGAGGGAGCGAAGAAAGTTCCGCCGTTGTGCTCGTACTCGGTGCTGTTGATCTTGTCGAACAGACCAGTCTTTCCTAGACCCAGCTCGAGCGTGCTGAACTCGCCGGGGAGCAGGTCGATGATGGAGGCGACGTTGGGGGGAGGCACGAGGATGGAGTCGACGCCGTGGACCACGCCGTTGGTGCCAAAGATGTTGACGGCTACGAGGCGGCTGTAGAAGTTGATCGCGGGGCCCTTGAGTGTGACACGGACGGTTAGGCGCTGTGGGTGACCTAGGTTCTTGCTGGGTGTGTAGAGGGTTGGGATGGTGTATGTCTTGAGTACGCGGCCAGCAGGGTACAAGTCGTCAGTGACGTGGTATAGAAGGATGTCCTTCAGAACTTCCTTGGACGGCTTGTGGTGGTGCTCAGGGATCTTCTCGAAGGCCTCGTCTGTGGGGGCAAAAACGGTGTAGTTCGCCTTAGTGCTGTTGAGTGCCTCGACGATGTCGTCGAACTCGTTGATCCACTTTGCGAGCTTCGTAGTATATTTGCTCTCGTTGATGAGCTCGTAGACTGTGCGGTTTGGCTTCTGGTCGTGCGGAGGGTGGTGAGGTTTGCCGTGGTGTGGCGGCCCGTCGTGACCGTGATGAGGGTCCTCAAAGTCAACGACACTGTCGTCGAATTGGTTTCCCTCTAACCACGACTCAATGTCGGCGCCAGCATGATGGATCTTGCTGTAAACATCCTTGGCACCATCTTTGACCTTGCTGAACGCATCGTCAAGTACGCTCTGGGCGTTGTCGAAAACATTTTGAGCGCCATCGACGAGCTGCTTTCCAGACTTCTCAATGTTGATGTTGGAGAAAACTTCCGGTTCGGTAATGACAAATGCAGTCGCCAGAGGCAAGACTGGTACAACGCGTGAGAACCGCATGGTGACCTAGTGATTGATGAGGAATGGGGGGATGGGGAAAAGTGGTAGAAGAACACAGGTAAGATGTAGCTAGGCAGCGAAGCTAAAGAGTAAGACGAGTCGATTACAACACCACTGCGTGGCGACGTTATTGGGGGGGGCGGAGCGTCGGTAAGTGACCCGCTTGTTTGGGTATCGGACTACAAAGCGGACGAACTCAACGAACCACAGTTGGGCTTGAGAGGATGGAGAAAGAAGCTGCAGCACTGCTTGGACTACTTCGTTCCAACCGAATAAACATTTGGCTTCAAAGGTATACTTCACACGCACCATCAAGGCACCGAGGCCGCGTACTGTACGACCCAGGCTGTCAAGGACGCGTCAGTCGATTTTCCCCGCGTTCTACGGCGGAGGCGGATGTGATGGATGGCGATGACGTGACTACGTCATGATCACCGATCCATCTTACCACCCGAAACTTTGAGCGTTTCGTAGCCTTCAACCGGGTACGTGTAGGATCTAAGATCCGATATTTGGGATGCTCTAGCGGACGTGTATGCACTCCCGCTGGGAATCTCCAACATCCGATGAGCATGGGATGCTTGAGGATGTCAGGTTCATCACGTGATCACGCGCTGTCGGCGAAACGATGTACCGGAGGGGTTTCGTCATCGACCCATCAATAACACAAACACGTCAGGGCTACTTGCTTCCGGATGTTATGCTACGATGCAGGTTCGTCACCATGCGTTATTTTCGCTCTGGGCATTCTCTGCAAGGTACGAGGCTAGATCAGCCAGTACGAGAAGCCGACGCGTACGTGGTTCCTTTGTTTGCCGGTTCTCCGGTTGAGCACATAGCCAACGCCCGCAGTGGGCCGCGGAAATGCATCCTTCATTGGCTGCCATGCCTTCTACAAGGCCTTTTCACTGCCAGAAACAAGCTTTTTACCAAGCAAATGACAAGCTTTTCGGACTGGGTTCTGCCTGGGCTGCATGTTCGATTTTTGCTGCATTGCCGGTGTGTCTGTGAGCGACAACGGACGTAATGTGTCGTCATGCGCATGAACGCTGTCTACGTGTACCGTCAAACACTCGTATAAAATGGAATACTCTGCTTGATACATGCAAACCTTGCACCAATTCCAACTTGTACTAACATAACCACCTTTTTCGAACATCCATCACCATGGCCGGACTCGCTAGACACGTCGATACCGATGAGCTCCTCGAGACTCTGAAGGACCACCCCATGCACAAGGCTGGAGGCCACAAAGCTTCGAGTCGAGCGACATCACACATCACACCTTACTCAAGTCGCTATGCCGCTGGCACGGAGCTGTCGAAATTCAAAATTCCCCAGGATGGAGCTCCGGCGGACGTTGTCCATCAGTTGCTCAAGGATGAGCTTGATCTGGACGGACGCCCAAGCTTGAACTTGGCGTCTTTCGTCGGAACATACATGGAGAAGGAAGCCGAGCAGCTCATGATCGAGAACTTGTCGAAGAACATGTCGGACGCCGACGAGTACCCCGCAATGATGGATATGCACGCACGGTGTGTTTCCATCATTGCTAACATGTGGGGAGCACAGAAGGGCGAGAAGGCCATCGGATCAGCGACTACTGGTTCGAGTGAGGCTATTCATTTGGGTGGACTCGCAATGAAGCGTCGTTGGCAAGAGAAGAGGAGGGCAGAGGGCAAGGATACTTCGAACCCCAATATCATCATGGGCGCAAACGCACAAGTCGCGCTGGAGAAGTTTGCAAGGTACTTTGAGGTCGAGTCACGTATCTTGCCCGTAAGCGAAGAGTCTTCCTACCGTCTGGATCCAAAGCTGGTGAAAGACAACATTGACGAGAACACTATCGGTGTGTTTGTCATCCTCGGTTCCACATACACCGGACATTACGAGCCTGTTGAAGAGATCTCCGATATCCTAGACGCTTTCGAGAAGGAGACTGGTAACGACATTCCTATCCACGTGGACGCAGCATCCGGAGGCTTCATCGCCCCCTTCACCCACGCAAAGGCTGGCAAGAAGTGGAACTTCGAACTACCGCGAGTCAAGTCCATCAACACCAGTGGACACAAGTTTGGTCTTGTCTATGCCGGTGTTGGCTGGATCATTTGGCGAGACGAGAGCTACCTTCCCAAGCACTTGATCTTCGAGCTCCACTACTTGGGTGGAACAGAGGAGTCATACACTCTGAACTTCTCCCGTCCAGGAGCTCAGATTATCGCGCAATACTACAACTTGATCCATCTGGGATTCTCTGGATACCGCGCCATCATGGAAAACATGTTGGCCAACGCACGGCTGCTCAGCAGGGCGCTGGAGCACACTGTACGGTACCAGATGTTCAGGTAGTACAAAGATAGATTGTTGACATCATGATATAGGGCTGGTACCGTTGCGTCAGCGACATTCACCGCAAGAAGGGCGACTTCAAGTACGAAAAGGGCAAGAAGCAATTCGACTCCGGCGACACAAGCGCAGACTACAACGCGGGTCTCCCCGTCGTAGCCTTCACCCTCACCGACGAATTCCACAAAGACTTCCCGCACGTCAAGCAAGAAGCCGTCAGCAACCTACTCCGCGCCAAGCAATACATCATCCCCAGTACGCTTCCACTCAACCCATCACCCCCACCTTGACTAACCCCACACACAGACTACCCCCTCCCGCCCGGTGAAGAGAAAACCGAGATCCTCAGAGTGGTCGTCAGAGAGAGTCTGTCCCTCGATATGATTGATAGACTCGTCACTGACATCTGTGGCGTCACCGAGATGCTGATGAAGACGGATGCGGTCGACCTTGCAGCGTTCCAGCCTGGCACTAGCCCCAGCATCGAGAAGCAGCATGCTAACAAGGGATTGAGGAAGGAGCATAAGCACAAGGCGCAGAGGCCAAGCTCGGATGGCGTGTATCGGACTGTTTGTTAGATGGATCTCGCGATCGGAGATGTGGCAGACGCGGGCTTTGCGGATGGCGTGGCGGAGAGATGGGACGATGATCAGGCCATGATGGAAGGGAGGCTAGTAAGGCGTTCGTGGCTGTTGGAGGGGATGGGTTGAGTGTCTGCGGTGGAGTAATGAATACGTATTGATGAGACTATCAAACACGATTACCCATATTTGATGTAATGAGCATCTTCTCGTCACTCTGATGTCGTTTGCTTGAGCATTGTCTTCTCTAACTAGATCAACTGGCAAACATGATGTTGGTTTGAACAGTCTGCCTCTCAATAGCATTGACGTAGGCTCATAATCATATGCCGTGAACAGAGATATCCTAATCGAAGATTGGCAACCTCACACCTCGCAATAACACACATCCTGGTACACTCCATTTCTGCAAGCTCTCATACGCTACTGCCGTTCAAACAACGATCACCGATAAGCCCGACATACTAGTTTGACATGAATAAATATTACTGAATAATGTTTGCAAGATAGACTGTGGCTTACCCAAGTGATCATACTTGTTATCGAACTACCAAATAAGTGCTACCTGCATATGTTCTGTGTAAGCTTATCGCTATTGGGAGTCATACGAGCAGCGTTTGTGTTGATTTTACTTGGGCCTGAACTTTCCGATGCCTGTCGTTCCCACAGTAGCGCAGTTCCTCTTGCGGGCGTGGGGGAACGATGCTTCCCCGTCGTCAATCAGTACATGTCACTGCTACAGCGGTCGCAACTATTGGTGCCCGCAATGATGAGCGCTTTACTTTGTGCCCTGTGTGAGTGATAGTACCCATGCATTGCCTCGGTGTAGGTTTGATCTCCAGTGTGGTGTAAGACCTTGTTTAGATTGACAGGTAGGGTAGTGGAGATACAGCATGCTCAGGGCTCAGTTGCCCGCAGTTTATAGTTTTAGGGTAACGATAAAGAAGGAGTGATTCACAGCTACGCTAGGCCTAATCTGGAGTCATGGGGTGAAAGACAGGATCGTGAACCGTTGAACCGGCGTCCTGATAGCTTTAATCGTGTTATCTTCATTGAGATGGTTTACTTGGACGTTTCATGGCAAATCATGTTGATTTTAGAAGGCTGGTCCCCTAGAGACTTGGCGTGCTTGGAGCATTCCAAGGTTTCTACGGCTCAGCCAGCTGTCGCGGTTCTCCTACGAGATGGCGTCACCCATGCCCGACACATGGCTCAACCACGATCACCAGCAAGACTGTCCTCTTCCATCGATGCACACGTCTGTGATACCCTGCTCACTCGACCACTCTATCCGAGACTCGCACTCATTGGACCACGAATGCAACGACGGCATATACATGCTGCAGGCTCATCACTACCAGCACTTGGTGATGGTGTGCATAACACAGTGTATAGGGCAAGCGAGGTGGCACTGCATTAAGCAGTCTTTGTCCATGTGTTGCGAGTCGGCGAGACATCGGACAGCCTTGGAACGGAGCATGCCAGGTGTCATGTCATACCTCGAGCCGGGTCGAAGCCACGTGCCCCTAGCGGTACCTGGCACACGATTTCCGCTCCGAATCGACAACTATCGAGATCAAGCTGCACGATCAAGGCTGCTAAGATGAACGATTAGCGGTCCCTGCGCGGCTGCTTTGGGCGCCGAACCATCTAGAACTCAGCTGGGGCTTGACCAGTCGCGGCATGGCGCATGCAATGCACGTCTCGCGATCGCTCCGTACTTCCATGACAGCACGACCATCGCCAGCTTTATGCTCTCTACGAACGCTCGGCCCGTCCCCAAGTCGCTCGTTTTGCGTCCCTGCAGCGGCCATAGCGAATTGTGGCGGCGCGCTAAGTCGTCCCTCACGTCATAATCCTGGTTGGCGATGCTGCAGCAAGCATCACCAATCTTGAACCGGATCTCCTCAGTTTCGACCATCTGTACCCCTTCCGGTGGAGAATGCCTGATATGGCTGACAGATGACATTTAGGGCACCTTTTAGTGTCCAGCGGCCTCGTGCCCTAGAAATTTCGGTGAGAGCCCCATTGTCGCCTTCATAGGGTCATGACGTCCCGCAGGCCCTGAAGCTGCTTCTCTTTCGCCTGCGGCACCGCAATGCTCCCGACTCTCCACTACCAGGTCTTCTATGAATCGTAACCTTGATGTTACGACGTAGTTGCTCCTGGCCGCCGTGCAACACCTGCGATTTATTTGTTTGTTCCGACTGTTGCACTCGCGCTTTTACTGCTGCCGACGACGAGCCTCCGATTATGTCCAGCCGCATTCCTCGCATCTTGCTCTACGTACTCAGTCGCGATGTCCGCCTTTCAGACAATCCTGCTTTCCATGCCGCGTCCCTTCACGCCGCCCGCCCAAATTCCGCGAGAAACTCTCCAAATGGTGACAGACGGCACCGCGATGACTCGTTGACTTCGGAACACGGCGGCGCAAACTTTACGCACCTCTTACCCGTATACGTTTTTCCCGCCAACCAGATCGAAGTGTCCGGCTTCCTCTCCTCCCCAACCGACAAAAGCCCGTATCCCGAGGCGCGCAGTGAGGTGGCCAAGGTATGGCGGACAGGGTCTCATCGCGTGCAATTCATAGCGGATGGCGTGTGGGATCTCAAGGAGAAGATTGCGGGGCTGAACTGCGGCTCTGGACTAGAGATGCGCGTGGGCAGAACTCCAGAGGTGGTTTCTGACATTCTCGAGTGGTACTCCAAAGGCGAGCACGAGGGCAAGATTAGCGGCATCTGGATGACCGCCGACGACAGCACAGAGGAGAAAAGAGAAGTGGAGAGTGTAAAGAAACTCGCAGAAGAGCATGGAGTAGATTTCAAGGCCTGGGCCGATGAGAAGTACTACATAGACGAGTAAGCTCTGCCTAAAAGTTTCGTCCCTGAGTCTAGAAAAGTATGCTAACGCGCAACAGTCGCGATTTACCCTACGACAAGATCTCCGACCTACCAAATGTATATACCTCATTCCGGAAAGGACTCGAACCACTGCGCGATCGACCTCGCCAAACTCTACCCACGCCGTCCCAACTTCCACCGCTACCGCCGAGCATACCACCCCAAAAACAACCATTTACTATACCCTCGTCTTTGGAGAAGCTGAAGAGAGTCTTGCTGTCTCCACTTGAGCAAGACAAAACATATACCCTTACTTGGCCACCACAATGGCCCACTGACGCTCAGTCGGCGCATCCTTTCTCGGGAGGAGAAAGTTCTGGTCTGAATCGCATACAACATCTCATCAGCTCAGGGGCTATGAGCTCGTATAAGGATACAAGGAATGGCATGCTTGGTCTCGATTTTAGCACCAAGCTGTCAGCCTACCTCGCTCAAGGTCACATCACCGCCAGGCAGGTCCATTGGGCGATGCTTGATTTTGAGGAGGGGCGTGGCCCTGGCGAAAAGATAGCTGGCTACGGAAAGGGTGAGAATGCCGGAACAGCAGCCGTACGTTTTGAGCTGTTATGGAGAGATTACATGCGACTTTGCATGAGAAAGTTTGGGCATAAGATGTTCAGTCTATATGGTATTCAAGATCGTGGTACCAAAGGCGACAAGGGACAGCCACAAACAAAGAAGTGGAAACGACTAGACAAGTCTGGTGGTGCAGGCGATGATCCAGCGAAGACGCTCGAATCCTTCCAGCGGTTCCGCTCCGGACGCACTGGCGTCGGTCTCATCGACGCATCGAACCGCGAACTCTTCGTCACAGGGTACACGTCCAACCGCGCGAGGCAAAACGTCGCCTCTTTCCTGTCGTCACACTTAAACATCGATTGGAGAGTCGGAGCCGAGTGGTACGAATGCTTCCTCGTAGACTACGACCCCGCTAGTAACTGGGGCAACTGGCAATACGTCGCCGGCGTCGGCAACGATCCGCGGCAGGGCCGCGTCTTCAATCCCGTCAAACAAGCACTCGACTACGACAAACACGGCGAATACATCAAAGCATGGGTACCAGAACTACGAGGCATCAAGCTGACACGAACTGTTGGTCCCGGAAAAGAAGAAATAGACCAACAGCGATTGATGGGTCTCTACCAAGCTTGGAAGCTCAGTGACTGGGAGAAGAACAACTTGGGTCTGAAGGGCATTGACTGGGTCGAACAGCCGCTTACTAGGATACAATTCCAGGTTGGCCGCGGACGTGGTGGTGGGCAGGATGGAAGGTCGAAACGAGGCGGAGGAGGCGGAGGAGGCGGAGGAGGCGGAGGAGGCGGAGGAGGCGGAGGCATGCCATGGCGGGGAAGAGGAGGAGGTCGTGGTCAGGGTTCTGATCGCAACTCTCGACGCAGAGATGAAGATGGTCCGACCATTGTGAGCAGCGAGCGGGCCTGAGCAAGTATTTTGCTACGTCCCGGCCTGTCGATTCTCCCCGTTTTGTATGATAATTGGCGTGTGCTCTTGCTTTGCAGCCTCGCGTGATTCAATGCATTTTCAGTATTCTTCGATTACCGTGCCGTTGCTTGTGAAGCTTCGATCGGTTTCACTTCGTCACGAGACAGTGATGCGTCACCATTCCTCCTGCAAGCATCATGTCTCGCAATAGATCGTGAACTTTTTGTCGTCACCAGAATAACAGTATGTTACTAAAACCCATGTTGTAAGCGTCTCGCAAATTACCTAAATATTGCGACACTCAGTGCTAGTCTCCTGTAAGGCGAAAACATCATCTTTCTTTCATCATTCCATCTGCCCAAACAAGACGCACTTTAGTGTCGAAGTAATCGTTCCGACATCACAAAATATTACCGACCGTTATCACACAAGAACGTAACGCCACCATAATCATATCTAGGTTTACATGGATACAAACCACCTACACTCTCCTCCCAATGACAGGGTCAGTACTCCCAGTCGCCCATAGGTATCGTATGTCACCCCCATCTACGCATCGTGCAATGTGAACGTCTCGTTCCGTCTCATACCCTCTCCTAGGCCCCCAAATCGGTGAGGCCCAACCCCACCAGCAACTACCTACACTACCGGGACGGGAACACGATGACGCGCATCCCGGCCCAACGCCACAGCAGATCATTGAAATTGCAAGGCCGCTTAGTAGCGCCAATCGAGAGGGGCACGAATGCTTTGGCGTTGGTGTTGAACTCTGATTCAAAGGCCTCAAATACACGGTTTGTGACTAGTTGAACGTGCGATATGAATGTGAGTCCACGGGTGGTCAGTGTGTGACTGGCTGAGAAATAACTCCTGCGTGCCGCTGGATAGACGGGCGGGTGGTCCATATGA